TGGCAGTTAATCTAAACATAGCACTTAAAGCTACATCATAATTTTGAGATCTAACTGGGTCATTTTCCTTCCAGCTGGCACCAGTAAAAAGTATTTTATAACAAAAAAGTAAATGAAACTTTTTTACAAGGGTTTTTTTTTTTTTTCTGCTCTTTAATGGCAGGAGCACAAGTATGATTTCAAGCACACACAACACATTTTTCAAGTCCTGTTCGTGGTGATGCTAAGTGAGTGAATTACAATAAGATTTATTGTGCAGTGCTGGATGTCTGATTTTCCATCCACTGCTGGGAGCTTCAGTTGGCGGGAACTAACAGAGGCGCCTATTATGTACAGCCTGGTTCAAAATGTGGGTTTGGTGCAAATCCTCAGGCACAGGAACTTACTGCACATGCTGGCATGGAGAAAGTTGATGAAAAGAGGAAAAAAAAAAGACTTTTTAAGTGGCTTCTTAAATATTTGGTAATCCATTCCTTTTACAAATTGTTTTGTGAGAAAGAAGGGAGAAGTCACAACAGATTTACCTGTAAAAATGGTGTCATAATCTATGGATATAAAACAAGGTAACTAATAACTTACTGTTATTGTAGCGGGATCCCCTGCTGGCAGGATTCAAAATGGACAGGAGCTCACCAGAAGCATTCTCAATATTTTACTTCTCCCATCCTTTTTCTTTTTTTTTTTTCTCTCTTTCCTTTTTATTCCCCTTGTAGGTACTGGAAACACAAGTCCCTCTTTAAACAACTACTCATAGACTTCCTTACCCTCCTCTACCTTTTTCTGGCTTTCTCAAACGTTCCACATACACACCAAGCTAACTGACTTGATATATAGTCCCTGAAAAGTGAAGGTGGAGAGAGGAAATTCTGGAAGGAAAAAATTAGAAGACAAAATCAGAACAGACACAACAAGAAAAAACAAAATCCTGGAGGAGAGAAAAAAAAGTAAGACTACAGAGCTCAGAACTGTCAGCAAGAGATACATGAAGGATATGAGAGGTTAGCAGGATGGATGGATGGATGGATGGATAGAGAACCTGAAGGAAGGAAAATTTAAAAAGAAAAAATATCATTTTAATATGCTGAGCACCTTGTCTCAGATATGTAGTTGGAGGCAAACTCCACTGCCACTTCTTCACTTCCTTGGGAACAGCTTGTCCGGGGGACCTTCTTTACACAGTCTGCTCCACAACTGGCACTCAGAAAAGGCTCTTAGCTTTAATGATGCAAATCAAGCAGTGAAAAGTACCCAGTGGTCCACAAACCTGATGTTCTTTCTCATTGGTTTGAAAGACTCATCTATCCAAACCCAGTATGATGCCCCAGGTTCACAGTACAGGGATGAACTGGGAATAATACCTTTTCCTGTCTTTTGGTTTATGTTAGGTACCATTTACCACTCTCATGAAATCTGCTTCTACTATAAAATTTGATGTCATATTTTCAGTTTTCTCAAGGGTGCTGGTTCACTCTCTACAGCCTACAGTGTAGTTCCTTAGCCACACACGGGATGGCACTGTTAAAATTAGTCCTCACACACCAAATCTCTCCTCCACTCTGACTCTGTGGGCAGCAGATTCAAAGCTTTTATTCCCCAGAATTGTATCTATCTCCCACAAACTGACATCACATATTTTTGTGCCTGGGCACTTATTATATTTTTACTTTGTATCAAACACGGAAAACCAGTACCCATAAATGTATTAATGCTATGTTGTGATTTTTTGAAGGTTTGGCAGCAGAAGGGAGAAATAAAGAGTTTGGGTGCAGTATTATACTGCGGTATTTCATTCTCTCCAGAGATCTATAATTTTATGCATGTTGAAAAAAATGTTAAGGAAACTTAATGTATGGAACATAAGGAATCAATTTTCTTCCTTAACAAATAAAAACCAAAAAATTAAAACAAAAACAAAAAGACCAAAACAAAAACACACCTTAGGGCTATAAGCATTAAAAATACCATTCCAAATTGAGCCATACAGCAAAACAGAATGCAGAATAGAAAGAATAGGCAGAGTTAAGGAATAACCATTAATTTTTGTCTCTCTCCTCTTTGTAGTCATATGTCTCTTAATTGTCACTCAATTTATTAGCACCCTGTAATTTTATGGCAATGTGACCATAAATTCTAAGTATGAACAACAGCAGATGGAGTCTCCCTCATCCCATTGACTGAGTCAGAATACAGGATATCACAAAAGTCTTTGTTGTTAGGTAAATGCAGAGAGAGAACAAGGTCCAAAAAAGACAAGCAAAGTACAGTTAGAGTCCACAATAAAGCTAAGTCTCCAAAATACAGGCTTTCTTCAGATTTCTGCTGTTACACCCTTGCCAAAAATCCCCTTCTGATCTCTAATCAAGAATCAGCTCAACCACATGCAGGGTAGCAAGGGTGACCCTATAACTGTCATGCAGAAAACAACCTGGTATTGTACAGCACCCCACTGCTCTGTGCCGACACAGAAGCATGGCTCCAGAAACAGCATTTACCTGCAGGTGATATTTAAAAGGAAAACCCACACATACCCTTTCAGGGGCCTTTAGTACAACATACACATTGTGTGGCCTGCAGTCTGGAATGGCACATTATATAATGCAGTGCCAGACAGGCTTCTCAGCACTTAGGTTCAAAAACAAGCACTAGACATAGCACATCCTTGATGTCAGGGCCTTTTTTGGCCAGCAGGAAGGGTATGGAAACTCAGTGTTATTTAAAATGGCCATTAACAGCTGTCCTTTGACAGCAGGGGGCGGGAATGACAATTTCTTTAGGTATATGTTTACCCAGTTTGGTATGAGAGCTAATGGTAACTGCAACCCTCTTCTCCACTTATTTCTCAGCTTAAGAAAGTGCCACATTATACTTGAGGAACAGAACTTCCACACCCTGGAAAATTCCCTTGAAATATCATCAGAGACCTTTGAGAGATACTGATTTGGCACAAGACATGGTACGGAGGGCGTAATTATATCAAGCATCCAATGTATTCACATCACACAAACCAAAGCAGGCAATTTTACCACACTGCTTTTCTGTAGACTGCCACCCTATCTCTTCTCAGCTCTTTTTCTCCTTAATGGATGAAGCAACACCCAGGAAAACTGCCTTCCCATGGCACTGACACAAGGAAATCTGCATTTATCTGTCTCTAGACTGTACATATGTTGCTCCTGTAGTATTGTCAAAACTCACCCAGAACACAAGAAAGGGAAAATAAACAGGTGAAAGTGCTACCCACCAGCAAACACCTTCACAAAGCATCCATTTTGTTCAGATCAGCATTTTGGGACAATAGTTCCCCTCCAGGAGCTCTACTACAGATCTCACAGAGTCCTAGACCTCAGCATGCTTTCTTCTCAGTGAGAGGAAGCAGAAAGATTGCCAGCAGAAAGATTGTCACTGTTCCCCAAAGCTGAGAACTGAGTGTTTATTGTTCATTATCCAAAAAGTTCAAACATCTTAAGACCTTCAGAGGGGCCTAAGAGAATTAGGTACTTCTAAACCTGTTAAGTACTTCCAAACCTATAACTTCTAAATATAAAAATTTATATACCTCTATTTTCAAGTCTGCCCTGAAAGATATTTAAGGTGGGATTTTTCCCTTTAATTTACTATTCTCAGTCTTGTGCCTTATTTTCAGTGGCCACTATGAAAGAGAACAGAGATTCCTCAGCCAAAGCCTTTCTGGGCACCAGGAATTTACCACTGTGGTGGTTTCGTAGGACTAGAATTTCTCTCAACAAGTTTTTCTTCTTTTTCAGTCATTCATATTGTGAATTATTGTCTTCTTTCTTGAGAAAATAAACCCAAAATCCCTGAGCATATGAAGAATCCATCATTCAGAAATACAAGCAGATGAAATTCCTGATTATTATGAAGTCAAAATCCCAAGATCCATTAGCCTAACAAGAACCCCATTTGCAGCTTAAAAAAACAAACAAACAAAAGCGTGAGAAATTACACATCTGTTCCCACCAGCAGCAGTAAAATCTAGGAGCAGGCTTGCACCCAGATAGCTACATTTTGGGTGCCAATATTATATTAATTACATTAAAAATGGAAAAACAGAAACCCTTCTGCCTTCTTCATTTAGCTCATAACCACTTTTTTCCTATTTTTTCTAGAAAACGAGTGTTTTTCCATTTAAAAGGTGAGAGCCACTCTGTAGTTACAAGTGGTACTTTTTGACTTTCTTAATACAACCCTGTGGCTACAATTAACACAACGGATAAATAGCAGATCAAATTAAGGTCTGATCCTGTTTTACTTATGGGTGCAATCCTCACAATAAATTGCAGGTTAAGCTGCTGGAGGTAAATGAGGAGAGGTGGAAAGCACGCCTGAATTTTAAGTGTTCAGACATTAAAAGCAAGTGTGAGAGAAAAGATAAGCAAATATCTAGACAGAAAATTTGAGAACTGCAGAAAGATTTAGTGATTATTCGGAGATTCCAAATGCAGCACATTTTGCACAAAGATTTAAGAAAAGGTAGGAAATGTGAGGGTTGTCTATATGAGTTATTTAATGCTTACTTTTATCCCTCACTGGGGAATAACATTTTCAGAAAAGAAAAAGAATATTATTTTTCTTCTCATTATTTCAGAATGCTTTATGTTCATTTCAGAGCCCCACTGTCTTTGAAGTTTGGGAAATAAGAGAACACAGACTGTTTCCATGCCTGGTCTTATTGTTGTGGAAATCCACTACTTTACCCCATTAAAAATGAATAAACAACTGAACCAATTTGAAGTTCCCCACAACCTGCAATTTCTATGGGCATCTTAAGGCTGCATATTGTCTGCTATGTTCTGATGGAATTCAATCACAAACTCCTTGCAGTACCAGAATCAAAACATTGCAAAAGAACTGTCTCTAAGCATGATCAGGCTAAGGATTTTCAGGGAGGGATTAATGAAGGAAGGCACCTTTATGAATCATTGTCTGAGGAACCTCACATGAATCTTAGGATTGTGTCTAGAAAAATCCTGTGCACTTACTGTCAAGTGCTGAAGGAGCTGTCCTCTTCCCATGACACCAGCGGGAGCAGGACATACTCAGAACTTCAGAGAAACAACCTGGTATCTCAAAAAAAAAAAAAAAAAAAATTACCAGGTAATTTAAAATCATTCACTATCCTTTATACCATGAAGTGTTGGCCAAAAAATATATTATTTTTTAACTCCACTCACCCAAGTTTTCAAAAGACTGTGCTAGTGAGCTGTTTTACATTCTTCATCACAGCACTTTCCAAACACCCTGTGCCTACTGAGGTTGCTCAGTTACACTGGAGATCTTTTATTTGCTTTTTTTCTCCATTAAACATTAGAGCACACTGTGAGAAAAATATAATATGCTCAAAACCTATGTCTTTTGTTTCTACTGCAAGAAAGACAGAGCAGAGTAGTACACTACTCTAAGCTGGGGGCACTTAGCCCAACAGGTCCTTGGCATCAGCTCAGAGCCCAACAAGAACCCGTTGTGTGTAGAGCCTAAAGGACAGAACCCACAGATATTGTCTTCAGCATGGGGGTCTTCCTGAGGGTGCACAGGTACATTCAGAACAAATTCCTCAGCAGCAAAGGCTGAAGTAGAAAAAAAATGTAGACTGGGTCAAAATTTAAAGTTGGAAGTTGAATCATTGAATTTTCTCTGCTGAGAAAATTTTTCTGACTCTTCATATCTTTTGACTACTGAATTACAGAAGGAAGAAAAATTGTTTTCATATCACCATCCTGAGGTCTTTTTGAAGGCAGGTTTTCCTCCAGCATCACCCTGGGAGTCACATTGTTTGTTCTGTACTCCTCACATCCCTTCCCAGGGACACAATCCCTCTGCAGCCTCTCCCAGGGGGCTGCCCAGAGCTCTGGCCACCCAGCACCAACACCCTCAGCAGATGGGATGCAGTAAATGCTGTAAACACTCCCTGCTTCCCCTCTGGTCACAATAAACCCAAAATAATCTCTTTGAGAGGGACTGGAGGCCCTGTGAGGGGAATGCTGTGCTTGCCCCTCGTTCCCCTGCTGTGGCTGCCCTGTGGGAGGACAGGGTGAAGAGGGCAGAAGGAGAAGTGGTGGGCAGGGAGTTTACAGGACAGCTGAGGGTCTGGAGGGGTGGCAGCCCTGTCCCAGCATGTGAGGGATGCCAGCATAACAGCATAAGAACGACATAATGACCAACTTAGCAGTCTTCCCCACGGAGGAGTGGGATCAGCTGGTGATATCTAAGAGTTATATTAATTTTCCCATAATTTTGTAATTTTAGAGGGCCACCTTAAATATCTGATGAATTGCAAGTACAGCAAATGAACATTAAACCATCTATCATAGAATAAAGGAGCCATTAATCTTTTAGGAACTATTATACATTCACACTCTTATACACAGAAGAAGGGAAGTGGTGCCATTCTTAGCACAGATTATTGCAGCTCAGCACAATAACATTATGTGAATATTCAAAATTATTCATTTTCCTTGAAATAAGACCTTTTTTTCCTTAAAATAATATAAAGCTTCTAGGATATCTAGTGCTTCCCTCCTGTAGCTGATGTTATATAAAGTCAGAGCAGTGTTAGGAGGGCTCTGCAGGTTCTGCTCACTGGAGAAGCTGATTCAAATAATATCATGTAAACTAACTTTCCCTCACTTTTTTCTTTCAACCCATATTGTAGTTGTCAAAACCAGAAGAACTTTCTAGTTTCTATAGTAAGACTCCACAAGAGAGGTATCTTGTACCTAAAGGTTTTTCCAAAAGCCCTTTTCCCTGCATGATCTCTCAACACGTGGCAAAAGACTTGCATTTCTTTTTGGGTGGGTGGGTGGATTTGGGGGGATTTATTTTTTCCTCTCCAGCACTTAGCCTTTGGTTTTCCAGCAGCTGCAGCTATTCTAGTGGAATTAACTAAGTCTGCAATCAAGTGTGGATTTCCTGATGTTTGAATAAAAGATATTTCATTGTGATTGAGTAATTTGATCATTAAAATCTATGATCTCCAGATTTTGTGAATTAAGTCTGTTAAGTTTTAACCAGATCCTGCAAAAATTGAGAGTTTATCATCCTAAGCATTTTGGATCAGACGAGGGACTTTGCAATTCAGTTGAACATAAACTGTCAGTTTTCCCTGATTTCATTCCATTAAAAAGAATAAATAGGGCTGTTCCAAAACTCCTTATCAAGGGATGCAAACTACTTAACTGTTAATTTGCCCTCAGTCATTTCATCCACCAAAATACCAGCCAGTGTTCCTGACTAGGAAAGGCTTGCACACATTAATAGCCCAACACAATTACTGTAAGTGCTGGGGAACACGAGAATGAGATGCAGATGTTGGCCAGGCTCAGATGCTCTCATTAGCTGTTATCTCCTGTTGCAACTGTGGAACATGAACCTACTGGGCCAGGAGGACTAGGAGACTAATCCAGTAAGACACTTACTGTGTTTTCAATTTTGTAAACTATTTGTGATTAATTAGTTGTGAACATACAGTAGCTAGAAAGAAATTATTAGCCATTACAGGGGCTTAGTGACAGAAATACCTTTCCACTTGGTGATTGCAGTGTCTTGCAGGCTGCACAGCTCTGAATCATAGTAGAATATTTCTATTTTCTGATTTTGAAATACAATCCCTGTGGCCTGACTTAAAAGAAAACTTGGTCATATGTCTGAAGTGTATGAATTTTTCTTCATAAAATTAAAGCTGAAATTTGTGGAACCAATGCAAGAGTCAGGGTTTTATGCTTAATGTTTGCAAGTTTTGAGCTCACATCCTATTTTTGAAGCTTAAATTAAAATGCCTGCCTGGTTTCTTCACACATATTGATAGTCCAGAAGAGTGGGGGGGGAAAAGACCCAAATAATCAATATGCTTTTCTTTTGTAATTTGATTATTTGAGGAGCATTATTTAAAGCTCTAATAATAACCTTTTTTCTTATCCAGTGATCATTTGCTGATGAAATACAGGAGCAAAAAGTCCAAGAGGTTTTATTACAAGTAGAGAAGCTTTTAAACTTTGTGGTGTCAAAGTAAATTAAATTGTCCCTAAGTAGTTCTTAATGCAACTGACCACAGTGATTCCTACAGGGTAATTATGGTTTAGCTGTGTCAGTCATCCAGCAGGCATTAATACAAAGCAGAACAGCTCTGAAGAATTTTGGTATGGACTGTCATGCCAAGGAGCCCAATGCTAACCTGCAACGGCCTTGATATTATTAGAACTTACCTCAGTAAGATTCCAGTTAATGCACAGATTTAACAGTTCTCTGCTGCAGTGGGTCTTGATACAATTAATGAACAGCAGATGACAGGAAGGATACCTCCAGGCAGCCAATGACCGATGGCAGTATTTGAAGGCCCTTAACCCAGCTGGTCATTAACTGCTCAGAGACACAACCTGGAGCTCATATTTTCTATTATAAACCATATATTAAAGATATAAATCACCTACTTCTTTTTCCTCCTCCTCCCAATCTGTATGAGCTGCTGCTGTTGGGCTACCATGCTAGCAGTTAATCACCACAGGAAAATCCCAGTGGGGAGACACTTGTGCCTTACCTTGGAATCTTGAAAACCCCAAACTGCAACCATCCTGAGGGCTCCCATGGAACCAGGTGAGCAGAGTCTGTGCTCAGCCAGAGGGAGAAACATCTGAGAGCAGGAGAAAGGACCAGAGCGGCAGGGGCACCTCTGTTCTCTTATTTGTTGTGCTCTGTCACTTGCTTGGTGCTTCCAGTGCAGTAGGGCCCTCCTGTGATGATTGGAATAACCATGGTAACTTAGGAGCTTATTTCTTGTATTTATTGCAGCAAGCTGGTCAGAGGTGCTGCTCTCCCCAGCACCAGGAAAAAGCAATGTGCTGCTCTTGCTATATGGGTTAGCCCCCAACACACAGCCTTGTTCAGAAGACTGCTGTACATGTGGAGACAGCCCCCTGTCTTGTGTGGAAATGAGTGCTTTTTTTTTTTTTTAGATTGACACCTAGAGCTGTCACTTGAACAGTTTGGGCCTTACTGCTGCAGGAAGCAGTGACCTTTTGTAGCCATTCCATGGTTTGCCTTTCATGGTACTTGTGCAACAACACAGCTGACAACATCAGTGTGTTCCAGATTACTGATCAGTACTCACAGCTGCAGATTCTGGTCAGAAAAAGGAGAAAAATCACATGGCAACACCTGTGTGTGGGGACACAGAGGAAATAAATTGGATTAAATTGCACAAGTCAATATTTATGTATTTATCCATTATGACATGTTGGTCAGACTCCTCATTAGCATCCACTGTTGATTTTGAAGTATTCCAGCACACAGATTCATAGTGCAGAATGTTATTTTTTGGAAGTCCATTTATGATGCTCTCTCCAAGAAAGAAAGGATTCTGTCCCAATTGGATGTTTCAGGGTGGTTTGTGCACCAGCTGAAACTTGGCTAGAATCTGATGTAATGTACAGCCAAAAGATTCTCTTACATTTCTGCTTCAGTACAGTACGCTTCAATGTAATTTATTATTTTCCTATGAGAACCATGACTAATTTCTAAGTCAGAAACCAATCACAACAGACCAATGGCAGCAATTTACAGACATGGCAATATGGCAACTATAGGCTTTTTGTTGTTTAACTTTGGTTAGTTTGTTTAAAGTTATATGCAGCGGAACAGGGGAAGGCAAAGAAAGAAGAAACATGAGAACTGTTTTGTCTCATTTCTACTCACTAAAAATCCTTCTGAGATTTTGTTGCTACCAACAGCACTTCCTGCACACAAGATTGACGGTATTCAGTGTGTACTGTCAAATTAGATTGGTTATCATGCATGTCTTTTATAGCATATGGTGTTAATGGATTTCAGAGGCTGAAAAATGCCTTCATAGACTAGAAGGACATGGGCAAAACATAAGGCTGTAAAATTCAGTCACCAAATTCACAGGAGGCCAGCTGAACAGGCCTAGTTGCATTTTCCTATCATCTCATCACCGTCAGTCTTAAATACTAAACTTAAAGGAATAAGGGATGCATAGAGGAAATCACACACACATCTCGTAAAACAAAATTTATCTTTAATTTGTAAGTGTCAACAGCAGTACAAAAGATGGAGTGATGGTGAATAGATTAAGGGTAGAGAGGACAGTCTTGAGGTAAATGAGCATAAATAGGCAGTCTTATAGACACTCCCCTGAGGGGTCTAAACCCCTATCATGGCATATACTGTATCACCCAAAGATGACATGTTTAACATATCAGGAAAGCACCTTGTGCAAAAAAAAAAAAAAAAAAAAGAAAAAAAATTTAAAAAATCCCTCCCACCCGAAACATGTAGGTAAGGTGCCAATGTACACCAGAACATACTGTATATGGACAGTGTCTTTCAATTTTGTCTTTTCCATCAATAACTGAGGCAGAGGAGGAGAAGACTCTTAAAAGTACCACTGAAAGATTATTTAATATTTAATTTACCTCACGTCAATACTGCACAACAAAATCCAAGAAGTCTGTTTATGCAATGAAGCAGAGCTAAGAATAACTATTCTCTTTTTTAATCTGAGAACAGATTTTTTTTCTTAAATCAATATCCTTAGCAAACTTTTTTCTTTCTTTTTTTTTTCTTTTTACTGTATCAAGAGGAGAGTGTGAGATGTGATGGCAACCTTTAAGTTCATTTAAAAACTTTACACTGGACTGTACAAGATTTTTTTTTTTTGATAAACTATTTACATTTTCAGACTTTAAAACATATTCAAAGCAGCAATAGACACTAGTTTTTCCTCTAAACGCCCAAATAATTACCGGCCATGGGCCCAGGTAGGTACCTGCACTGTATATAGAATTTCTACAAAGAAAACCTGCCCATTAAGTAGCCAGTGGCTGTTAAACAAGCAGCCCTTGACAGTAAGAGCTGCACCCATGGTGTTGCTATAGGAATCAAAGCATAGTACCTTGACAAGAGAGTCTCAGTTGTCCCAACAGCTCTAAACAAACTTTACAATTTGAAACAGCAGCTAGCATGTCAGTCCAGCATGTCAGTGAATTGTGCTGATTAAATTAACATAGAGTACAATCTCACAATATACATCACAAACAAATTACAATGTCAGGAAATAAGAGTTACAGTAAGATAAGTTATGTAGTAACAGCTTATAAGCTTGTCTTAATGTAATAAAAAAAATTTTACATGGGAAATACAATAATGAATGAACATAAATGCTAAGCATTCTAGTTTGCTACAAGCTGAAGAAAGGTACAAGAAAAAAAAACAACATTGCTTTCTGGAAAGCAAAACACAAATGACAAAGGAAGACAAACGGAGAATGCACACTAGCAGGTCTGCAATGTGCAGCATACAAACAGTTAAATATTTGCACATTCCCCATACTCCAAGAGCACCAAGGACCTCACTTGTGGTTTTTAGAAAGCGGAAATTACAAAGCAAGCCATGTCACTAAGTTGCTTTATAGTTTTCATATTGCCATAAGTACCAATTTGATAAGTTTTCCTTCAGCCCAGTTCACCCCACCCTACCCCTTTTTACCCAGCATGTGAGATCTTGTGAAACGGTGACTTCTTTGTCACCATTTCCAACAATTCTGGTAGTTAAGAAAGGGCGTCAGATTAAAGTGAAATGATTTTGCACATATATATTTTTTTTTCCTTCTGTAGCAGGGCATTGCTACTTATCAAAAATGTAACTTGATCTCAGATAAATCACAGATTTTAATGGGCTGTACAAAAAAAAGTTTAGAAGATGTTTCTTTTAAAGGAAAAAGTGTTCTGTAAATGATCAAATGAACTCATATAGTATTATTCTTTTAAAAGAACATGCTTAAGTGCCAACTTGAATCTTAAAAAAGCATGCAAAACACCAAGGGGTCCAAGCCCATTCATTAGCTTCTCATAAAACATGAAGAACTCTATTATACATCCTGATGGCTGCATCTCCAGTTCAGTTGTTCTTACTGTGGCTCTGGCTCAGCAAAACTCACCCCACTTCACACCAGCAATGCACTGGTCCTCGTGACCACCGTGGAAGTACTAACATGCTTCATGTTAGGCAGGTAGGTAGGTGTTTTTCTGGGGGAGGATGGGGTCTAAATTCATAGAATGTTTTGCTGGGAGGTGATTTGAAATGTCACGCCTTTGATGTGGCTGAAAAACAAGATGCAGAAAGCCAGCCCAGAGATTAGATGGCACTGGGAGGTGGTTGTGTTGTGTTTATCCAAAGCAGAGGCTGCCCACAGCTGGCTGCTGTGCACTTTGCCCAGGGCAGTGTATTTATTGGGACTAATGCTGCTGTTGGGTTTGCATTTCCATCCCAGAGCCATCCCTCTGTCTCTTCCCTCCCCCTGCCTCACACTGCACCTGAGTATCCTGATTAAGGAGCACTGTGTTGGGATCCTGTGAATGCTCAGCAGGTGGTTTCACAAGCTAAATGGTGATACCCAAACATACAGGCAGACCAGAATCTGGCCAGTTCTCCAGACTTGATTCTGCACATAAACCCTGGAAAGCAGTATGGTTTCTGTTGGGACCTTTCTCTTCCATTTTTATAAAATTAGAAGTGAACTATTCTGGCTGGTACCAGACTGTCTGGGGAGTCTCCTCCTCTTGAATAGAAGTATTTAATAATTTTCCAAAAGAAAATATATTTTATCTGTTAATTAAATAAACTGTTCACAGAGAAAATAGTATTACTATATTAGTGCTCCTGAATGGAGTTATTTTTCCAGTCAGTTTCCAAGGGGCCTCAAATACTATGCTTAAGAAGCAATTCCATGAACCCTCTTTGTGTATTGTGTGAACAATTTCTCTGGTATTATAGCCTAATGTCACAATAACATGATTAAGTGAATGTACAACATAAAGGTTTGATATCACTGAGTCTTGCCTGCGTTGCAGGGGCCGTTTCAGTCATTTTAATCTTTCAGGGACATGATTTTGACTTCCAAATGCCATTCTTGGTAAGTAAAATATCTCATTGGTTTTACTCAGATTCAGAAGACTGTGTTTCCCATTAAATGTAGCCAAAATTTGGCATGTTTCATGTATCAACTTTCTAAAAAAGAAGAAAGTATTCCCTGTTTGTGGAATATGCTATTAAAAATCAGAGAGAGCACAAGTGAGGCATCTTGCTGTCCCAGCTACAGGTCCACAATACTGCGCTCACACTGCGGGTGTAAATTCAGCATCTACATGAGGTACAGTGACTTGTCAGCATTTAATATGGACCAACATACACTGATATAGAACAAAAGTAAATACATAACTTATACTTCACTAAGTATCCATGAACAAAAAATAAAATTCTATTTCCTATGTTATATTTACACAATTTAAAAAAAAAATCTAAAATGAGATGGCAAATTCATCAAAAAACTTTGTTTTGAGCTCCGATTAATAAAGTAAAAATGTTGGGTTTCATCCTTATGATTGTCCTTCCTTGATTTCTACTGACATTTTAGAGCCAATGTCGGCTAATAAATAGAATAACACGCTCATAGGCACAATTCAGATTCAAATATGTTCCTCCCACTCCCCCAGCCAGTAAATGCAGTTTTTACCAGCTGGTGATTCCTGAACAGCCAGTCATTTTCAAGAATGTGGCTTTAACGTACAGAGCATCAGCATTGAGGCAGGGCTGGAGCTAAAACAAAGTGTTCATACATACATGTATTTTGCATAAATAAATGAAATAACAAGACATAAAAATGACTCAAATCCGGCAACTGTGAGGCAGGCCCACACGAGTCGAAACAGATGACTTTTGTTCATGTAGTTTTCGTACAAGAGTTTCACATTAGTCAGAAGTGATAAAAAATACCATTTATATCCAGTGCTTATAACACTTACGAAACAACATCTGTGAGTGTGTGTTTTTTTTGTACTACAAGCAAAATCAAGTTTCAGTCCTAAAGAACAGTCCTTTGTTCTCCACAAGCCTGCAGAATATTATTTTGGCATGGTCATAAAATTAAAAAAAAAAAAATTAACCAGCTAATCTAAATGTTTGCCTTTGTGCAAAAAAATAATTACATAAAATACAATGCTAGCAATACAGCATTCTACCTATGCAACAAAACCAGGAAAAAAAGAGAGCAAGAGAGAGAAAATGACATGGGGGGAGGGAGAGATACTTCTAACTGGAGAATTATGTAAGACATTAATAAATAGGTTGTTTTTTTTTTTTTTTTAGGAAATAATGATGTCCTCCCCCCAATCTGAGCTGAATGTATTAAAACCAGTTAAATTTCCCAAGCTATTTTAAGAACAAAAAACCACTTTCTATCAGTACCTTAGCCAGCTTAAAGAGGACGCTCACCAGCTAATGACACAGCATATGCCTTTGAAGACTTGGCTAGACCAGTTTATTGCTCATTAGACATGGACTCAGAACACAGTTAAATAAATACTAAAAATATAGCTTTTTTTGTTCCAAATTACAAAACGGTCAGAGAAATTTGACCATTGTGTTTCTATGCCATTATCTTTATAAATTGTCCTGTAAATTGAACAATCTTCTTTGTCTTGGGGAGGTTCCTTCTCTCACATAGAAACGTGATTCCTATAGTGGCAAAAATGGCATTTTCTGGCAGGACAGGGATCAGTGGGGCTGTCAGGAAGGTGACTGCTCCTCCACAGAGCATCCTGCCATTGCAGCTCACAGGGGTGTCTGAAGAGCAGGATGCACCAGGACAGCCAGACTAACACAGGCTCCTTTTGTTTCATAAACCAGCCTCACCAATTCCTAAGCCAGAGCTGTGCAGTTCTGTGAGAAGATGCTCCCAGACTTCCAGAGGAGCTGCTCTAGGCCCCCTGGTACCTCTCAGCCCGAGCCTGAATTTATCACCAGCGTGCTGAGCACGGCCAATTCCAAATAAAAGCTGAGGGAGTTGAGGAGCTTCAGCACTGTTAGTCATCAGGCCTATTGGAACTGTATTTATGTACAGTGATCTATTTGTGAGCAGGAGGGGAGTATGAAGGGGAAAAAAAAAGGCAGTTTCTCTTCCATCTTTGAAATCAAACAAATCTAATCTTTGAATTGAATCGTGCATATTTCCCAGAATTTTCTCCAGTAATTGCATGGCTTCCATAGATCCCAAAGTGTGTGACAAGTCACATTCCCACATGACTAATATACAATAAATATTTCTGATGGCCCATTTTCCCACCTTTGCAATTAGATATTTTAGTGTCCCTCCCTCCCCCACTTGGAGTCTCACAAATAAATCACTGCATAAATACTTAAGGTAGCACAGTTCCTTCAGGTGACAATGGGAACATTATGTACAGAGCCATGATTTGTCACAGGTTCCTCAGGCCCTAAAAATTCAGCATGGTGGACTGTAAATGCAGTTTGGATTTTACATCTGCCCTTGCTAAGTGTAGAGGTTTATAACTATAAACACATTTTTAGGGGTATTTGTACTATATGTACATATAAAAGTACACACTTTATTTTGCAATACATATAGCAGAGTGTTTCCAAGTGCTCCTTGAACATACAGTGTTAGAGGAACAAGTGAGTTTCTCATTCATAAAGGTCATGTTCATTTTAGTAGCAGGTGCACTTTTATTTTCATATACCTGTGTGATTTAGGGAAGGGGAATGAAGAGGCTTTTTAAAATATCAATAAGGAATTGTAAGTGTAATGCCACCAACTGTACTTTTAAAAATAAATATTAAGTATTTGGACCCTTGACATTCTGGAATGAATAAATTATTTAAGAGAAAATGTGTTAAGACTGAATGCAAGGGTTAAAAAGCAAAGGGGTAGAGAATGTAATCAGAGGTGGCCTCACACTGCTAAGACAGGCCTGTCCATAGCTGGTGATCGCTCTTTTGTGCTTACTTAAAATTTCACACTAATGGCACATCAAGAGGCAAAAGCAATTGGGCACATGCACTATGGCAACCATGTTCACTAATTAAGAATATCCTGTCTCCAGATTCCTGAGTACTTTACCATATTCTGGAAAAAAATTAGGTTTTATATATATTTTTTTTAAGATGCCAAAGGATTGTCTAAGACTTTATAGTGTCTCCTTTAAGACTTTTTGTTTAAATGCTAAGATTCAAAAGTTATGAAAAGTTTGGCACATCAGAAATTCAGCTATACATATGGAAAAAAATGGAATTCCGAGACTATTTTTTAAAGACAAGCTATGATGCACAGGTGTGCACACTTGCGGACTTGTTCTGTTTCACAATATGAAATCTGCAGTTTTTGTTTTCTAAAATAATCCAGAATAAAAACACATTCACAACCTGTAGGCTGGCACAGCATACCTGAGTGAGAATGTATAACCCCCATCTAAAACAGTAACTTAAACCTTTATCAGCATCCAAACGGAAAAAGACAAAAGGTAAGACTTGTAAGACAGCTATTGATTCATATAAGTTCTCAAGTCCTGATGTCTGATATTTATGTCTTCATCTAAATTAAAAAAACAAAACAAAAACAAAAACAAAAAAACCCAAGTTCATGAAAAATTAGGGAAACAATCTGTCTCACACGATAAGAAACATTTAAGACCATTCTGCTGATGTAACTGTAGGAGCCACACATGCATGCAGGCTCTTTAAGAACTTTTGTTCAAAAAAACCCCAAAAAAACCCAAATGAGTCTGAGTACTTTAATTCTGTGAACACTCCTCAGTTGGCACTGACTGCCTCATGGGCTTCATTTTCACTACTATAGTCTGATTTGGGATCATCCTCATAGTCCTCATACATTTCTATTTCATCCTCTCCGTTTATCATTTCATTCCCAGGAAGGCTTCCGCTGTCCGTCTTCATACCATAAGTGCTCTGGATGACAGGGATGCTGGGCTCAGGGCTGGCAGAGGTGCTGGAGCAATCTGATGTCATCTGAGGGGACGGCGTGGTGGTGGCCATGGTAATAGCACCAGGGTAGACAACTCCTGTTCCCGTGGTGATTGGAATCTGAGGCTGTTGTCTGGAAGGAAAAACAAGAGGGAAGTGTCATTGCCTGTGTATAGAGGAGGGAAGACCTGCAAGTCCAAAGGAATGAAAAGAAGGTGGTTTACTAGAAAGGCTCCATGTATTCCTCTGGGCTTAGAGTCCTCTATGGTATTGGTTCATTACCTCCCCCAAAGGACAATTGGGAACTGAAGTGTTTTCAGTCACTACCAGACATCCTTTCATGCATTGTGTGTGTTTATTCAAGTCATAATACAAACTAGCACTTGGACATGGACCACCAAAAGGCTTCAGGCACCATGTGATACCTGCCTGCTACCCTAGACACCATGTATCCAAAATCTAAACCCTCTAAATTTATGGCAAGAGCTTCTGTTAATGAGAGGACCTCAAGATTACCCAAAAAGCAGAAAGAAAATGTATCTTATTTACTATGTAAGTGCCAGGTAGACTCCTTGGACATTCTTTTGACATTTGATTGCTGGCTTTGATTTTTATTTGTATCCATCATCAGAATGCCATTTGCTTTTTAGGATTTTATGTTTAAGATGGGGGTTTTGAGGCAAAGTACTTGATAAAAAAACCAACAAATCTGCTGTGGAAGATGCTGATTTTGTATTGACTAGTTATTGAACATACATGCCTATTTGCATAATCTGTTTAAAGAATCATACATTTCAATGTATTCCCAACCTTCTTTAGAGCAATATCGACCCAGTAACAGTGAACTGTTATAGATTTTAGCAGGAAAACCAGTGTCAGGTATGTTTGAATAGTCTAAGGAATCTGCAACTTGACCACTATGCCATTCTATGATAAATTCAAAAGGAGGTTTTATAAACCAGTCTCACCAATTCCTAATCATTGGCTAAATCAATACAAAAAATAATGTTAAGCTTATTTAAAAAGCCCTAAATGCTGCGTCTTTATTGTTCATTGATCAAACCCTAATTTTGATAAATATCAGACAAGAGAATTACAGGGAAGCTGCAGTCCTTCAGGTTTGGGTAGTGATACACTGAAATCATGAACACCCTGTGTAACACCACTGAAATACTTTGCAGTCCTGCCACGGCCAGTACCGCCTGACTCTTAAAGCCTCTGCACAGCTTGAGAAATTCAAACATCTGTTGTGTAAGTCTCGTACACCTGGCTAGCAGCGAGCAAAAACGCAGTAATTCATTTGACACAGTCATTATACTCCTGTTTGCAAATGATGATTTGCAGATGATTTACAAACAGCTTGGGATTTTTCACTAAATTTTCACTTTTTAAATGGTCTGATAAATGTTCTGTGAAAACAATTTTCAGCCAATGTATTTGCTTGCAAGTGATTTTCTGCAAACATCTTTCAATACTTTATCCATAAAATTGAACACCTACCTCACATGGGAACATTCCTGGCTTAGGAGTGCATGTTTTCAGGAGTATAAACTATTACTGCTAAAAACCCACATGTATCTCCTCCACAACTTTTAGACACAGAAAATGTTCACATTAATGAATGTTTCCACAAATCAGAGGAAAAAGAAACCCACACATGGTCAACAGAAAAAGTCTATGTAGCTGTCACCAGGCCATACTCACTTAATTCTTTCTAATCTGCCTATCTAATAAAACCTTTATCCAGTATTTCTTAGAATAAATAAATTCACAAAACAAAACATCACCAGTTGTTCATCAAAGAACACCATCCTATCAATGCCAGATGATGCTTTGAGAAAAGTTTTCACAACTCCTGTAACAGACGTTGTAGAACTGACTCAAAGAAAAATTGAGCAGGACCTGCTGCTGTGTTACAGATGACATTAAGTATCAGAACACTAATATCCACCTCTATACCTCCCCTCCCCAAAAAGTTTGTATTTTTTCAGAAGCAAATTGCCTTTTTACAAGCAACAAGAACAATTTTAAAAGTCTGCTTAAGACAATGCTGTGAGATATGTTGATGAAGTGATGGTTATCAGTGTTAAGGCCTAAAGGACAGAGAAATCCTGGTATTCTTTCAAACATTCAGTCAGCAGAATTCTTCTGCATATCCACATTTCTGTGGGACTGGGTACACTTGTCCAAGTACCACCCATTTCAAAGTATAAATGGAGAAGGTCATTTGAGCATAAAGAAGCCAAATTCACAGAGGTACTTTTTACTTGGGAGCACATCAGACAAATGCATGGCAAGCTACTGAATGAATCTAATTGTCAAAGAACTTGATTGGTATAACAGGAAAGTTAAAGGCTTACTGAATTTGTCATCCATAAATGCAGTCCTTTTTTACATGTTAAACAAAAATCAGACATGCTGTGCATGCCTGCTGCTGGCTGGGTAATAACTTTAAATTACCTATATCTCACTGTGGAACTGTAAACATGTGGTAACTGTACCACCTAATTGGAAAGGGTCTCAAATTGCTACCCATTTGCTAGCAAAAGATTTGCTAGCACTTAAACATGGGAACCTACACACCCCCAGTAACTGGACACCTACCTCTGATTTAATACCTGTTATTATTTAGAGCTGATCAGGTTGTCACTGTAAATTCTGCTCTAGTTGCTACATTACATCCCAGAAAGTCTTATTTTAAAATATCACAAACTATGTGGATGGCATATGTTACTAGAGATGAGTATCATCATTTCCTAAGTAATTAAGTTCTTGTCGGGAGGAAAACACAGCATTTGTTTAAATTCCCAGTACTCTCCCTTAAAGGAAGAGTTGGAGTTTATAACCTACAACTCTGGCCGTTATGTTTTCTTATATTTGTAGATTTTAAAGGCATTCATGTTAATGGAGTCTTTTATTACATTAAATTCCACACATTTAATCATTGCCTCTAGCTAAAGTTTTACCAATCATAGAACCTTGGAGCGGGGACATAAAAACATACTTTACCTGTAAGCTACAGGTTACATTTCAGTTCAGTTGCACATGGAAGTTTTCTGCCTGTTAAGATTTCCAGAAAGCAACATTAATCTTCTGGTCTGTCCAGATCCATGAGGAATGGTAGCACACCCTGGCTTCAGATCACTCCTGTCCCCACCATCTCCTCTTTGATAAAGAAATCCTCATGTGGACAATAATAGGGGTCACTCTCCTCTTCTCTGCTAGCACTGATAACTTGTTTGTCCACTCTGGGGCTTAAGATTTGGCCCAAAATATTTAAGTAAATATAAAAATGGAAGTAACATGAAAATTCTTAGCCAAACTGACCCTCTCACAAATTTGTGGCATTAATATCCTTAGTGTTTTCCTGGAGAATATTCCTCTTCTGACTTTTACCAAACCAGCCAAACATTTAAACTGGCAAATGACCATTGTTTTCTGATCCCTTCCCAACCATCTTCTGACAGCTATTCAAATGTCTGAAGCAAAAATTGATTGCATCAAGCAAAACGCTCATATGTTACACACCCCTGAAACTTACATTCCCATAAGGAATGAAATAACAGTAAATCTCACAAAAGCACCCATTGTGTACTTGCTTTAAGTTCAAGCTACAGGAGTATAATATTACAGACTTATTCAAAACCATAGCCTAGCAACATTCAGACTACGTGTGTACAGTAGTTATAAACACTATAAAGGCTTTATTCTAAACATCTTATGCTGGTAAAGCACAGAAAAAAGTTACTGCTTACATCATTTTGCAGAGAAATGTATATAGCATATACTTCTATTTAGAGTGTATTAGACTGTAAAAATGACGGAGCAATGAATTATCTTTGTAAGACAAGGCAACAAAAGACAGACTCAACTTAAAATATCTGAATTTATGGTTTATATATGATCCATTTTTTAGCTCACATTTATTTATGCATTACAAAAAACTACTATTGAGGATAAATTGTAAACCACTTGAAGTCTGTTCGGGATTAACTTATGCTGAAGGTATCGTTCACAAGTTCCATTAATAATTTTACTATTAAAAATAACTCAATTATTTTAAAGACATAGCTGGCTTCAGATTCAGCTTCCCCTAGACTGAAAGCAGCAATTTTTTAACATAGACTGCATTAAACTTGAATTTTCTGTATATTATCTGCCTCATTTGGAGCAAAATTCATTCAAGTAGGGATGCAATAGAAGGCCTATGCACACTCTAAGTTCCAGTCTGTTCTTTAAAATGTTTGGCAGTTCCCAGATTTTATTCTATTTTTATTCTATTAGATTAATTTCTGGGCTAATTTATTCCAAGAAATCTTCACTCTTTAGAGGTTTTTCTTCAAAAATCAGAACAGAACATGGCCACTAATTAGCTCTCTATTTTATTTTAAATCATGGGTAGTTTGTATATTGAAATTCTTTAAACTCCCTTTGTGCATCTCACCAAGGTTTGTCAAAGACTGTGGTCAGTGAAGTGAGCAGCATGAGCCTTTTGCAACAAAAAGTTTGAGCCATGGAGAACTCCATGTTTGTGGTGAGGGGTTGTACCCACAGCAGAATTATCCTATGTTAGCCAGTGGCTCACCTAAGGGAATCTGACAGGAACTAGCATTGACTGGCTTGCCTAAAATATAAATGTACATTTGGTATAAGAAAAACACAAATGGAATTATGAAAAAATACAGTTTTTTCTTTTGCTTTTTATTATTTCCTTTAGCCACCAGCTTTGAATGTGTATCTGACTCTTCATGCATCTCCTACTTATCTTTTTATTCTATATTTTGTTGCCATTTTGGTGTGCCCATTCCCAACTTAATTTGTTTGTTAAAAAAAAAAAAAAAAACAACAACAAAAAAAACCCCAAAAAACCCAGCAGTGCTTCAAGCAGTATGAAGCACTTGGCAAATTTCATTGGAGTCTATTTTGTACTTTTGTTCTGTATCTTCCACTGAAATATTTACTGTAAACACAGAGCATATTCAATCTGAAAAACCACATTTGTCTCTTATTTCACTCTGAAAAGGAAACAGCATCTCAACTCTCATGACTACAGTTCTGAAAGACGATTTATGTTGTTCCATCAAAACAGTGGAAAAATAATGGGGGTGTGAGGTCAGTTAGGAAAACTGTTCCAGCTGATGCTTTATGTGATATTTATGTTAATCACAGAGAAGAGTAAGTTTAAGAAGCTGATGGGCTCAGTTACTGTGTTTCACTTAGTTATAATCTGATTTGAAAGAAATGTTGCTTTTCATTACTTGGTAAACTATTCTGCTGAGACAAATGATTCCTTGTTTTATGTTTCAGTTCAAAAAAGATGTTCTAGTCTGGGTTTTTCACTAATTTTACTTGGTGTCTTCCAATAAGTTTGTTTTAAATTATTCTTGAGGGAAAATGGGAATTAGGGACAACAGTGGGAAGACACAGGGAAGTTTGAAATAATTTTTTAAAGTCCCAGCCTGTGATTCCTCAGGACTGTAATCTATGTTCACATTGAGCAGCAACATGGCTCTCATTTCATCTTTATTGAATGCATCCATTAGACTCCATACTCCCTTTTCCATCACTTGCACAACTAAAAGTCATTGGTTTTGGTAAAGTCCAGTGCACCATCATATAACTGCACAGAGGTAGTTGACTTTAAACTTCTTCAACATGAATAGAACATGGTGAAGTGGACTTAGCATTGGTAGAAATTGGAAACAATCCTTTCAAAAAATGGTGACATTCTCATGGTCTTCACAATCACATCATTGGATGTATAAGAAAGATTAGGTTGCACCAGTGTAGTTTTGAATAGCTTTCAGTGCCTATATATTTTAATAGAAATATCACCCTTTAGGTAGGCACTTTAAGAAGTTTCTTAAAACCATCCTCCATATTCACTCCCATTTAGCCATCACATTTAATGTGTAAAATGCTACTGCTTAATGCTGTTTTGAATTAGCAAACAATTCTCAAATTGTTCAGACTGCTGTTTTGGCATTTCTTTTGCATTTCTTGTCTAGATGTGATTTGGTCTGTCAATCTGCTTTGGAAGACGTAAGCTAGAATTTCATTCCCTCAATCTGAATATAATTTGTGATGTGCTGTATAAATTCAGATTTCTATTTAGAGTCCTATGTGCAATTTTGATGGAAGACTATTAGTAAACAATTTCCCTTAGACTGAAGAATAAAAAAACAATGTCATAACTATAGGCTGGAAGGCTATTTCAAGATATCAAAACCACTTCTATTTACTGATTGAAGAAAGAGCCCACATTGTTGCAGGCTGTACCGCAAAATAATTGACTGCAACAGGAGTTCTGGATCCCAAGCCAAAAATGAGGGCACATAATCGACGTCAAGGTCAATTATCTGGTAGTGAAGTACCCAACAAAAGGAGACTATTGTGATTAGAGAAATAAGCAGAACATTGTGAATTTGGAAAGGCTGGCACTGGAGATAGATTTTAGACTCTCTGTAAATCACCAGAAACATTGTGTTGGAGCACTGAGCATCACAGATTAATTCATAAAAAAAAAAGAAACAGGAGCGAGAAATGGTGCAGTTGTTTCACTGGACTTTTGTTATCTTTAGCCCGTAGATCTTTCATAGTGCTACTTTCTCTGCTGAACACCAGAGGAAATACCACTAAAAACACACACAATGTTCTTAAAACAATGCATACCTTGATATCATTCATTTGTGTGTGTTCCTCATACAACTGCTATTACTCCTCTCCCTTTTCCCCCTCTCCTGACTCCTTATTCTACACCGGAATAATCTTTTGTGTTTCTCTCTTTGTTCTTTTCTTAATTTAGGAAATGATGCTGGAGTCATTACTAACCCAGAATGGATTAGTTTACTAAAAACTCACAAAAGACATGATTCAAACCTTTCAGGGTAATGGGAAACAACTTCTTTTGACTTTAAAGAATTCCACAATCAGTCTCATAATCAGCATTCAGTGGCAAGCTGATAGCTCGATATTCCATTTTATGTTTTTAATAAGGTCTTACCGGTTCAAACCCTTTCCTGCTAAATGACATTAGTCAGTGACTTAGATAAAGTCTATTTGGTTTCAAACAGCGTGTTCCATCTTGGAAAACAATTACAACAATTGTACTCACCCTACGGTAAAAAACTGCCTCATCTCCTGTCTTCGAGACCTCATCAGCTGCTTGTATTCACCAATCCGCAGCTTCTTCCCATCCACAATGCAGGTACGTTTTGGTCGAGGCTTGTACTTGTAATTAGGGTACTTTTCTAGGTGGATTTTACTTAGTCGTGCCTGCTCTTCGTAATAAGGTTGTTTCTCCTGATTTGACATGGACTTCCAGCGAGATCCTATGGACACAAAATGTTAGTGAGTGCTCGAGTAAAGTGGGTTGAGCTGTGCACATATACAATTCAACGTGCCTTCTCGCCATGATAAATTTTAATTAAGTTCATTAAATAAACTGATTTAAATTTTCATCAGTCTGCACATATATTGGCTTGCACAACCTGAGACACCTTAAAAGAACCCTGAATTTCAGATATTGCTGCAGACCTAGCATATGTTAATCTCTTTTAAATAGAGTGCACGTAAAATCAATAGTTAAGTCTCAAAATCTCAGCCTCGTGCTGCAAAACAGACTACTTAATTTTTTTACAATAAAAGCATTAATCTGTGAGTAATTCCATACCTCTGTAATACCACGCACAGTATGGTGGTTAAGAAAAGTCTGCAGCCATACTTTCACTGTTAAAAGCCTAACACATTGCCTAGGGACACAGACTTCTTTGATATTTTTATGAGAATTTGGTTTATACACTCCTGCTAATAGATATTAATAGCTTGCTATGTAGCAGAAAAAAAGTATCAAACCTTATAGATTCAGCAAAATTCTGAACAATCCCTTGCTGTCTGGGCATCCTAAATTTACTGAACTTCTGATATAAGCTTGGCATAATACTGACACCTATTTTAAATTCTATTATGAATATTATTTTCTGGCCAGATGTAATAAGCACAGAGAACTGAATCGAAACAGTTACATTTCACAAACTCACATTGGAAAGATAAAAAGTAAAACAGAAAGCACACTGCAACTATATACACCTCTTCAGGTACTGTAAACTCTCATTGAAAGCTGCACCAATAAAAATGTTTTAAAATTAGCACAGTGTACACAGGAAGAGGCAAAAGTATTCAGATCTCTTGTATTGTTTGTAAGGAGCTATCTAAACACTTGAACAGAGACAGGAATAAGAAATGCAGAAAATAGCTTTTTGGTGTCTTTTAGATGAATAAAATGATTACAGCTGTGGTAAACGTGGGTGGAAGCTATTCTTTTACCAACATTTTTCATACATCAACAAATGGAAAAGTTGTATAAATATTATCCGAAGCCAGCAATATTCTGTGTCAGTTCTAATATTTCAGTCTCTTTTCTCATTGTCCTGGAAAAGTTGCACAGATATTATATGGACATAGACTTATTTGTGGCAGAGCAGATACTGACAGGTTAATTCCATGGTTAACAAACACTCAATTGCTGGCACTTCTGAAATATTTATGCTGGAAGTTTACATTTTAATGAATACAGTTACTATGCTCCTAATAGTTTTTTTCACAGAATGCACACAAATAATATAGATTCCCTACAGCTGCCAACACTGAAACAGTGAAGGTTTTATACAAAACTGAAAGGCTATTCATATAACTCACTTATATGGTAGACAAAAATATGAGAACTACTAAGAAAGATTTTGGAAGTTTTAGGACAAAGTAACATTTATTTCTATGTATTCTTGCCTCTGATTGAACTAACATGCAACAAACTTTGTATTTGAACTCAAGAGTTTACAATAAAATGATTACAGAGGAAACCTGATTTTTACTTTTATTTATTATGAGCTACATTTGGAATCTGTCTTTCACTTCAAAGACTCAAAAAGCAAATATAGGTTTTAACATTTCACCACTCATTCTCACGTATGTTTCTAATTCTCTGGAGGGGTCTTAAAAACCAAATCAAAATTTCTCAAAAATGAGTCCATTTATTTACACAGTGGCAAAATAAAACCCATGGAATATTCCTCGATTGTCTCAATCTGTACAAATTAAATATTAACTATGGAGTCTTTTACCTAGGCAATATTTTAATTGCATGCTTCTAGTGGTTAGCTTTTTGAACATTGCAATGTTTTGAACCAAACACCATTTTGGATGTGAGGTTTGCATGTACTGGTCCTTTGAACTGTACCGAGTTTCTTTCTTGACATTGCACTATCTGACATAATTTTGATTTTGATTTTGTACTTTTTTAACTGTACTCCAGTATTTACTCTAGCAAGTCCCATTTTGCATTCAGGCGATTTGTAGTTCAAGGGCATTCTAATGGGATCTTGGAGTTATTGGGACACAGCCTCACAAGAGATTTCACAAAACATTCCTTTTCAATGCTACTAAGTTTTAAAGCATGTTGTGACTGCTGTTGGAAATAAAAAGTATTAAGGAAGGGGTAGATAGGGAAAAGAGAATGAAAATAAGCCATGAATCTTCATTTGTATAATTTTGGTGAACATCTCCCAGAAAAAGATATGTGCTAAAATTAGAGAAGACCATAGAACTGTAGAATGGTTTGGGTTGGAAGGGACCATAGAGATCAGACAGTTCCAACCCCCTGCCATGGACAAGGACACCTTCCACCAAGTGCTCAGAGCCTCATCCAACCCGGCCTTGAACACTGTCAGGGATGGGGCATCCACAGCTTCTCAGACAACCTGTGCCAGTGCCCCACCACCCTCCCAGTAAAGAATTTCTCCCCAACATCCAACCTAAACCTGCCAACACAACTTGCTGCCCGTTGCCTCGCGCTTACCTAGGATTTTGCTGATGTTGGAGTTGTGCATGTCGGGGAAGGCCTGGAGGATTTTCCGGCGCTCGTCCTTGGCCCAGACCATGAAGGCGTTCATCGGCCGCTTGATGTGGGGCTCGCTGCTGGCGCGGCCCCGCGAGTCCCGGTAGACCCGGGCTTCAGCCACCGTGGCCCCTCCTGTTGGCCAACAATAATACTGCTGTAGTTTAGCTGCAGAGCCATTCACTGCTTTACTCCCTGTAACGTCAGGGCAGGAGGAAACAAGATGGATGCAAAACATTATTACGTGCATTAGGAAAGCGCTTTCAGTGCTCTGCTTATTTCAGCCTCTTTTGCTCTCTCTCTCTCTCTCTCTGTCTCCCCATGCTGCCAGATCTATGAGAGAGAGAGAGAGATGGGCCAACCAGTGGTCTCAGTGTAGCTGGCCAGGCTTGCCCATCTGAGATTCTGAGATGACCCAACACCATATTGTAGAAACAAATTGCACTGGTATTTCTCCAATTAAGACATGGTGATTTGATAAAGTTTCCATTTTGGGCTTTACCATAAAATACATTCTCTGAATGCTCAACAAAACTCACATAAAAGCTACATTTGAGAATCCAAACTGATATAGGCCTACTGACATGAGCCAATGACAATCACTTTGCTGCTTGAGCAGTGAAGCACGTGCCAAACATTTCATAAAATAAATTACACAGTGCACCAGGTACATGCTGCCATTTGTATGGGTCAGATTTTATTTGGAGCTGAACATTTTAAAGTTGCATCTGCTTTACTTGTATTCTAGATGTGCTTTGGAGCATTTGAACCACATATATGTAATAAAACTGTCTGCCTCTAACAGCAGCACGTTGGAACCTCCAGAACCTCCCAGAGTGGGAGACAAGCACTCCACCTCTATGCTTGCTGTGCCTTAGTGCATCCCAGTGTCCAGTCTTTATCTGCCATCAATTCAGCTTGCCCATGCCAGCCCTAACTGGGATTTTGAAAGCATCCAGCCCTGTTTTTTGACCACAAACAGCAAAGCCTCATGAGGGTTTAGAGATCACAGAGCTGAGGTGTAGAACTAATTATTAGGGGAGAAACAGATGACAAAGGCATGCCTTTACTGGAAAAAAATTCTAAATTTGTGATGATAAAATATGTTTTTAGAGTTATACCTTAGCTATAAAAAAGGCAAAAAGTGTTTACAGTGGGAAAGTGACAGTCTTAGACCTTATCAAACTGGTCATATAACTTAATATGTTGAAAAGGCAAGATACTTGACAACAAATTAGTACAGTAATAGGCCCCCTTTTTTTATAAACTATTACAGCTACCAACATGAATTCATTTGTCAAATAACATAAGATTAATTCTTTACAGTACGTAAAACAAAACACTGCAGTTTTACTGAATACAGGCACGAGTTTTAGTTGTGCAAAAATCAATTTTCCTAATTCAGAGTGAAAGCATTATATAGGCATACCTTTTTAAAAATTCTATATAAGAAACACATTTGCATGAAAAAGGGGCCCTAAAGTAGAGGATGCATAACTAACATACTACCTTTTTGCCACCAGGTCCACAGTACATTAATTTCATTTAAAACGCACTGACCATACAGGATAAATTGATTTTGCTTTATATGGTGTTGACAGCCATGTTTATTGTGCAGTGAAATGTAGTGTAGTTTCAAGCTGACTATATCCATCAACACAGGGCAATATGCTGACTACTGGGCCAGATGAAGACATACATTACCCTGAGAGCAAAACACTCATTCACATACAGCAGTGTCTTCTCCTGAGGATCACCCTGGTAATTTATGATGCCTCCCATGCCATTACTTTACAACTGACACCAATTTGGCAATTTGTATACTAACATGCGTGCACATAAAAGAAGACAGGTTTGTGGCAAATGCGAGCTGCAAGACTGTTTTAGCACTGTTCCAAGTTAAGCACCGTGCCACAGGTGTTCTGCATTTACAGGAGGCTGCAGTCAGCTTTTGGCTGCAAAAGGGAAGAGTGGTTTTGCAGGTAAGACCAGTTGAGGGTGGGGGGGTGAATGGTCAATGAGGCTCTGTTCATTGTTGCCAAAAGCCTTGGACCACAAACATATAAAAGATACCATATTTTGAGAGAAGATGTATTTATGTAGAAACTGAAATAAGTTGCAAACATAGTAAATCAATGCTGAAATATCTATTGAGACAAAGAGCTATATAATTTGAGAAAAGTCCAACATAGCATGTAACAGTTCTACCTTTTAAGATAATGTAATAAAAATATGTTACTAGTATGTGGGCAATTAGGAAAGTGATGACAAAAAATTAAATTATTATTTATGCAAAAGTTATAATTTATTATTGAGCTGCTCTACTCAGGGCACAGGAAAGACATATTTGAATCCATAGGGTGTCTTTCCATCTTTTACTTTCCCAAAGGTACTCATCCACTACAGCTAAGGAAGAGTTTGTCTTTAGCCCTTTCTAACACAATTTTGGATTTCTCAATCCTAATTCAGGTAAAGAGTAGTTTTCTGGGAGCAACATTATAGGTGGCTTTCTAATTTGGATGTAATCTAGACAGAATGAAAACAAAACAAATTAAAAATGAAAGGCAAAAAAAAAAAGGGCAGAAAACCACCATAAATTATCTGTTTTCATAGCAAAGTTATGTTACAAAACAATTCTTACTTGGAGTAATAAATTACAACCATCCCAAGAAGGTCAAGTCTGACTGAATCTGCTTTATACAAGTCCTTACTTGAAGGACTTGAAAAAGCAGCCAAAGAGTTGATGTTCTTTGAGCTTGATCTCTGGGGAAATATTTGCAAGCTGACCTATAGGCCATCACAAAAGCATTTGCAAAATGAATTTCTGCAAATAACTAAAGCAATATAATCTTCATGCTCTTCTGTCTCAGAACCACAGAATTATATTCAGCATATAAAGCATTACAATAAAATAGTTCTGGTAGCATGGGATTCTATGGGGGAAGTCAGAAGGTCTAAGTACATTTTTAGATTAGAAATGAGGTGCTAATGATACAGATACACATATGCCCAGTGAGGTTTTACAAGTTGAAACACATAGGAACAAGCTTTCAAACTGGTTGCTCTTAGGTACTTCATCTTGTCAAGCAGATATTTTTACTTTATTGTGCCCTATAAAAACAATTTCAGCATATTTAAAAAAGTATGGAGCTTTATCCTATTGTGATAATTAGCACTGACGGAGGCTCAAAGAGACACCTGGAATTTTTAAAGAAAATGTATATGCAATCTCAAATAGGTGCTTTAAATTTTTTCTGAAAATATTTTCAGGAAATTCTAATTACTAATGAAACTAAAATAACAGATAAAATGAAAATGTATTACTAGTGAAGGGAAAGACAAGAGAAGGAATTGGAAATTGTCTCTCTATGGTAACTAATGCTCTATCTGCCAGTTACTATTCATACTGCAATCACAAGAGGAGGGATCAGAATAAAGAGCCTGGTCAGAATTTATAATTATTGCAAAAGAAGTACAGTTTGGCTGCCCTAGTGTCTTAGTTGGCAAAGAACTCTATATTTTGGTCTAAAGACAGGGGTTGTCCCCAGAGTGGCACTGGAATTGCTCACTGCCTTACCTCTTAGATCCTTTGCATTTGCACAACTTGTCATAAGTTTGATGATTTAAAACTAAAATCAGGTTAAAGAAGAGTGATCTTTTTGTGGATATATGGCAGGCAACCCCTCTGTGAAAGCTGGATTCCATACTGCTCTAAGGGCAATACTGAAGTAAAGAAAACGCCACAGACTAAATCTAAAAAATGCTACAGCTTCCTGAAAATAATTTCCAACAATATTTTCATTTCTAAAGGGCTCTCTAGTCAGAGAATATTAGAAAGATAAAAGTCTGATCATCAAGAAAGATAAACATTGTCATATGAAATAAATGTTAAGAAACATAAAATAACAATTGTTACATTGTTTATTTATTTATTTAATCCTGCCTTTATCTGAGTTTCTTACATTTACTAATGATTTTTTTTTTTTTTTAGGACAGGCATCATTCTCTCTGCATGCTTCCTGAAATCTTGGCCACATGAGGGTTAATTCTACTGTCTTTACTGGGATGTGGGTTTACCTTCTGTTTTGCACATAATCTACAACAAAACTTGAGATTGGGCCTTTCCAAGTTACCAGAAAATAAATAATAGATGTGATAAAAAGGAGCAAAAAAGGCTGAGAAAAAAAAAAAAAAAGTGTTTTTTGTCAGTTACCCTGTTATTCCTTAATTACTCTTCACAGTATGGCCATTGATTCACGTTTGAAGTGATACACTTCCCCTGACTTCCCCCAGATAAAGGATCCAGCTAATCTGGAGTATCTACTGCAGATCATCTTCCATGGACACACACCAAGACAGGATACATAGAAATAAAGACAATCTTTCTAGGTTCCTGGTATTAAAATGACTGGTTAGTACTAAAGCTCCTATCATCAGTTATTCATTAAGCTGAGGTGACATATTTACCCAGTTTGGAAAAGACTGATTGTGACCTCCAAAATATTTGGCCCTGTCTGTGCTAATACAGGCAGCACTGCAGAGACCAGAACCTGACAAACATGCAAACACGAGTTACTCTTTTACTGCAAGAGATGGGTTACTCATAAATATGGACATGCCATAAAAACAGGGAGAATGAAAAAAACAGCTTAGTAGTGCCCTGTGCTGCTCTTAACCTGTGTACAGACAAATGCAGCCTTTGTGAAACATATAGCAGTAGTTAAAATCAAACAGAAAAAGACAAATATGGAAAGAACAGAATGGAGAAAGCATCTTTGGCAAGCTTAGAGCACAAGAGATGTCATTTAACTAATATTTTGGGTTATCAGTTTTAGAGAAAGTTACAAGAATTACTGCTACTTCACTGTAATCTAAGCGACATGTAACAGTTGTAGAATAACATGTATCTGTTTGCCCCTTGCCTGCCTCTTATTTCTTCATCCCCAACACCATTCAGATTTTCTCATTCTTTACTGGCATGTCTTGTCATCACTGGCAAAATACCCACTTGGAAACATGGCAAGGTTTGGAACAGGGGTGACACAAATGTTCTGTTTGTCAGGCGGCTTTTGTTCCAAATGCTAAACAAATATTATTCAGCTGCAATCTGAGCATTGAACATTTCTCACAGGCTGCATGTCAGTGAATGAATGGAGAGAAAAACTGGGAAAGCCACAAGCAATTCATTAAATACT